TTGTTTGTAATTCCTAGCAACAGTGAGGTCACCTACATGTCGTGAATTCTACTGCACAGTGACTTTTCGAACACCCTGTAGTATTCCTATAGAACCTGTAGGGTTCCCATAGGGAAGCATGGATTCCTAAAGGGAGTCAAAAAGATTCCTATAGGAATTATATAGCATTCGATACGTTTCTCATAGGACCTATGGGATTCCTATACGAATGTATAGGCGTATGCTAGGCTCCGTACAGGATATATGAGGTTTCTATGGGAATCACATAAGTCCTATAGGTCACATGTTTTCCTATAGGAAGCCCAATAGAAATCCTATGGGAATTTATTGTATTCCAATAGGTCTTCTGAGACCTATAAGATCCCAATAGGAAACTCAACGGACTCTATGAATTGTGGACATTCCCTAAGCCCTGGAGGAAGATCACTTCCGATAGCAAACCATGACAAATAAATACTCTGCTTCCTTTACGGAAATGCCCTATAGGAAACCTATAGATATCTCTTACATGAAACCTTTAGACTTTCCTAAAGGTTTTGAAGCACGAAAAATCAATAAGATCCTATAGGTTCCATATAAGTTCGTATAGGACTCCTGACCTATAGGATTCGGGAGGCTTTTTTGGTTTCGAAACCCTGGCATTACAACGGGAATGCCCACCTGGGTCAAGATTAGGGCCTCTTTTTGGTGCTAACTAATTAGCTAGTAGGGGTTTTCTCATGGTAGGGCATTTGCATTTCTAGTACTAGTACTGCTTACGGCTCTAAAACTTTTGACCCATGGCACAAATATCGCCAGAATGTGTTGGATTGCGCGTCCACTTTCTTCAATTGAAAGAAGTATTGTTCTTCTCTGGGGCTTTAGGAAATGGTAGGCAGCACATATGAATCCCGTGAATACATCTTTCAGATAAGATAAATCTTTTTATCCATTCGGGGTTTTCATAGGGAATATGAGCTTATTTCGGTCCTGAACGCCATAATTTTATCTGGAATATGGGGATGACAAATAAGGAAGTGTCCAAGTTTATTGATTGCTACAATGAGGCAAAGGTAGATATGCAGGGAGGTACGAAACATTCCTGTGAAAGATGTTCCCATGGATAGAGGGGAGGGCACTTTTGCGTACTGTGAGAAATGCGAGACCCATCCCTCCATCTGGTGGCCTAATGAGAACTTCAAAACGAAACCCTATGTCCTATAGGGAACCCTATAGGCCATATAGGATTCCTATATATACCTTTAGAAATCCTTTTGCCATTTTCGTAAGTGTTACCTCTGCTCCAGGGACTCAAGGCTTCTTTTAGGTTATCTTTAGGACACATACCTTCTCACACGACTTTCGAGAGCGTGGTCCCACGCGGCGGACAAGCAAAAATAGGCTGGTCGTCAACGAGTTAAGTATGAATTGAAAGCAAAGTTTTGCAGTAACGTGTGGTAGTAAGGACATTGCCAGATTCCACGACGAGAAACGATGACACGTTACAATTCCTAAACGTAACTAAACTCAGCAAGTTGTCATATGACAGAAGAAGAGGTAATATAAGATGTGCGACGCATTCACCTAAACCCCAGAAAGAGTGAATGTTCCTTGTATAGAGCATCTTCCCTCCTGTCACATATCTTTATGCCATCAGCAGCAAACGTTACTATTGTTCAGCATCTGATACCAAGAGTGACTACTGCACTGGACAGCAATTACTAAAGCAAATAAGACTTGTGGTTCCTGATGAACCTCCATGTGAGGATGAATTGATTCTTCCTACACAGTCGAACTGGTCGGTAATCGATACTTGATAATCTTCACTTTCCACCAGTTCATTTCATTTTTGTGATGGAGTGCACATCTGTTAGTACAGTGGGAGATATAGAAATTATCAGCAGAAAAGCGCTTCTATAATCTCCCCTCCTCCCCATCCCTGTATCGGTCATTGTGTTGAGGGAGAATAAATGACATAGGTAGGAAACGAAACTTTAATCAGCAATGTAAGAAAGGCAAATTTGAACCTTCCCTGCCTTGTGGTGGCATTTTATATTAAAATAATTCAATATTTAAATTTCGCTTATCGCAATTCTTAGATGAACGCCGAAGTTCAACACAGGATGAACGTTGGGTCAACATTTTAATGTCACCTATCGGAATGCTCACTCCCCACCCTAGTAGCACAATATATTGGTTTAATGCTGGATCATCACTGGGCACGTTGGCTGCACCTTGGCCAATATTGTCAATATCGAGTAACTATTTGCTTCCCGATATTGCCATTCCATCAGTAATCCAATGTCAGACCCATAGAATAAACCAACATGTGCCTAAATTGCAATTGAAAAGTTTTAAGGAAATTTTGAAGATCTCCTCCAGACCACTGGATGGTGGTATGGGTCTCGCATTTATCACAAGTCACAAAAGTGCCCTGCCCTTTATACATGGCATCATTCCTCATAGGAGTGTTTTGTACATCTCCATATGTCTCGCCTTGCCTTATTATAGCAATCAATAATCTTGAACACTTCCTTATTTTGCTATCTCCATATTCCAGACAGAAGTATGGAACATAGGCTGTAAACAAGCTCATATTCCTTATGAGAACCCCATTTGAGGAAAAGTTCACCTTAATCGAAATAAATTTCAGGACTGGAGTTTCAGTTTTGATATGAGCTTCGCAGGTCCTGTTCAGTTCATCAGGTTCAGGGGAGAACGATCTTCCTCACTTCAGGGAAAGAATTAAGCTCGCAGAAACGCCGTCCAACCTGAGACAGATGTGTGCATAGGCAGAGCGTTATACTGGTACAGGCAGTACTAGTACTGAAAATATAAATGTCCCCACCATGGGAAAGCCCCTCCAGGTAATGGATTTAGAGCAAAAAGCAGAGATAATTATACTGACTTCAGTAGTTATCTCATTTAGTAATTCCGATTGTAATTCTTGGGTTTCAAAACCCCCAAAACATCATCGACTCCTATAGATCAGGAGTCCTATAGGACCCTATGGGGATCCTATAGGTTGTTCCTGTTTCAAAAACCTATAGGAAAAGTATATAGGTTTACTTTAAGAAGTATTTATAGGTTTCTTGTAGGACTTTTTCATAAGGGACGCTTCTAAAGAGAGAAGTTATATCTTCCGCAATAAATTATTTTTGCATATTTTGCAGTTCAAGTAAATGGGACCCTACCAAGATCCTACCAAGGTTATGACCAAGCCTCCAGAATTCCTAGTAATGCTCTACCTTCACAGCCTTTCTTGAGCGTGCCTTTGCGCTTTTTGGAATACGCGACCTATTGAAGAAGACCTGCTGTATCAGCATCTTATGAATTCTTCATTTCCAGCTGGAGGAATCCCACTGGGACATGGGAAAATAAATGATGAAGTCCTTTCTCGTCTGCGGCCTTTTACTCAGGCTAAATCTCCTCCAAATGGTGACTTTGTCTCAACTTTTTTAAATTAAGGAATGTCACCCTTTTTGTTGGCATGTTTAAGTCTTCCAATACACATTTTCCAGTGCAAATGGAAGACATCCCACCCAAACGCTCACAAGGAAACAATCGAACCCCACCTCCTCATCTTCAAGGTTGTCCTACAATTCTGGCCATGGGTGAGTGTCCTGCAGCCATCTATAATAATTGTCCATATCAACATATGCCATACTCTATTAGTAGAACGAGTGCCTTACTGGCATGAGATAAAATTTATTCCTTTATGAGATAATGAGTGACTGGTATGCATTAGGACCTCTTAGGGTAGCGATTAGTCAACGCCTGAATTTACAGCCAAATCTAAGATCATCAGGGACAGCCATAGTGCTAGAGAAGAACACATCTATTGCACGAAAGCAAGCTGACTCCCTGAAGACAAATGTACAGAACATGGCCATAGATTGCCTAGCAACGACCAATATGTCACATTAATTTTCCTGATGTTGAGCATCGTGCTTGCAAATAAGAAATGCAGGCCTGCAACTTCGTTTTCGCAAATACGTGTAGAGAAAAATAAATGGTGTTTATTAGGCTTTACTTTGACTGGCCACTCTTTATCGGTGTTCATTCAGCTATTAATGACAAATATTGTAGTAGTGAATCATCCCTCAGCAGATGTCTCTCTGTGCCTCCATAAGTATGTTGGTTTCTGGGTTGTTTCAGCTATTTATGACAATCAAAGTCGCATATTCATTCCGAGTGGAGTTTTGAAAGATTTCTCAGCCTAAATTAGAAATGCAGGATTGGCTAAAGTATTCTTGCTATGAATTGCTATGAATTCCAAATGTTTAATTAAATAAATTGAAAATGTAATTTCCTTGCGTTTTTTCCCTTAAACATTTGTTTAAATTTCATGGATATGTTACTATTCATTCGTGATTGATCACTGAATTTGTCAAAATTGTCAATATTCTGAGTGAAGAAACATGTGATTGCCATTGCGAGGCGTGAATCTACAATTGGCTTTCCTAAAAAATTATGTTCATGTCGGTATGGATAATTTTTAAAACTTGAGAAGTTGCCTAATGGGCGTTATTCACTATCTGAAAATGTCTTGGGGAAATGGGCATGCCTCTTCATGAATTATCAGGCTTTCTCCTGCAAATGTGATTAAACGTACACAATTGGAAAGGACCTTTTTGGACCTTTTTCAGAGGGCGAAGCGAAGGAAAGAGAGTTATTTTCAAACTAGTAGACAAAGTTAGTCGTTAATCTCAGGGGGAAAGACAGGTAAGCGACGTTACTTTCTTGCTTTAGATAGTAAAATTGCTCACTCCAGTTTCGCTCCCTTTCTCGAAAAACGCTCACTCTTTTCTAAGAGTGTAGAGGTGTACCAGCACGTAATTGCAGCTTAGATGGTACTTCCTTAAATTGTAATGCAACGCACAACCATTTCAGTTTTCTTCCATTTTTCTACCATTGCTGTTTCGTACACACACGTACACAGATGACACAACCACATCATCATTCAACTCAAGCCTATTCTATTGTCTTTAGACCACCTTAAGCTGAATACGGCTAAAAGATTTTTCCATGTGTCCCCTTTTGTTTTCTAAAACTTTCTTTAGCCGTGGGCGGAATTGGTCAATTGCTTCTGAATTCCGACTGAATTTGCGCCATTCCTCTCCAACCGCATTGTTCGGTGTTCATCGTCGTACACGGGTCGGAAAAGAGGGGCATGGCAACAATGGGTGGAATTGGTGCTTCGCAACAGGAGTCGCACGCGTGTTCACTCAGAATGTTGACCATTCCAACTAAATTGGTTGCGTCTCAGGAATGAGTAGCTGCAGGCGTATGAAATGTGACGAACCCTTGAGGTATTATTGATACAACATACTATGTTTCGTCACATTTTTAAGAATTTATCATTCCGAAATATCGATTTTATTGCAAATTTTCGAGTGGCTTACCTTTTTTGCCAGCCATATGGAAGGAATGTCAATAGGTATTTCAATGGAATTAATTAAGAGAAGAAAACAATTTCATTTTAGCCCTTCAAATTTTCTTCAGCAGGGAGATATGAACAGAAAATATCAATATAGTTGACAGGAAAATTTGTTTTGCTTCAGATGGTACCAGAAGTACGAAATGCTTACATTGCACCAGGGATAGATGTATGTAGCTGAGACTTTCTTGGTGCTGGCTTTAAATTGATCGAATTCCGCACATTTTCCTCATCTCCAATAACGGCCTGATTTCAGCCACATATATTTTGTGACATTTCTATTGAAAATAGATGAAATCCAGAAGGCGGTAAGGAGACAAAAGACCGAGACAAAGCATAATCTGGGTTCACCGCTGGCTCGTAATGAGGACCGAGTTAGGAAGAAGCAGCCAGAGCGGACGAAAGAGGAACTTCACATCCGTCCTCTCGCTTCCGGTGGGAAGCTAATCCAGTTGGCTCCAACAAGCACAAGCGTCACCCCGAGATCACCGGCGATAAAAAGCAGGACCGGTGTTAAAAAAAGCAAGGCACCTTTACCTCCTCGGCAGATGGAACCAACCTCGCGTTCGAGGACGTGAAACGACGAAATTACATCTTTCGAATGAAGAAGGCAGAAAATAATGATATTAAGTTACTGTAGGTCTGCTATCATCGCATTTACTAGCGTTGCATCGACGTCATACATGCTCCATCAGTTTCTTCGAGCCGGGATGTGTCACACAGGAAAACATGGTACTGAAACATTGTTCTATGTCTGCTTTAAATCTTCGTCATTAACTTGACATGATGGCGAGACCAGTCAAGGTGCTTCGTAATCGGTAGGTCAACTGATGGGAAGTAATGACGCGATTATCTTCCAATAAGAAACTTTGGATCAGGATTTACTCTTGGTGGCGTCTTTCGTGAAGAGACACAGGTGTCCCTTCGTGAACCAACATGCATGGGCTTTCTCCTTTTCATGGACGTTCTTCATTTGCTCATAGTTTTTCTCTCCCTGCAAGTCAGGTGTTATATTGTGTCTAAAATAAACCTCACTTATTCCTATCCACTATGTTTTCATCAAGCCTCGAATCAAATGAATCAAAAGAGTGATTCTTCTGGTTTTCCAAGCAACTGGTTAAATAATGATTGTCTAAAAAAATCTAAGCATGTAAATCTCATGTTCATTCAACCAAGCAACGGACGTCAAAGGTTTTGACGGGTTGATGAAGATGCTGAGCCTGTGATGTGGTTTGTTGGATTCTCCCGTCACCATGCAGGCTCCTGAACTCTTCCTTCCCATCAACCCCTCAGCTCTCTTGGTCGAGGATTCTCGAGTTCCACCTTCACCATTTCACTTCCATCAGCCGACTGATCCACTGCACCTTGGAACCTCCATGTATCTTCATACCTTCAATAAAATAAAGCTTAGTGTACCAAACGCTTTGAGAGGGATAGTTTTTGGTGCCCTTTCATCGCGTGACTTGTGAGGAGGAAAGGGAATCTTTTTTCATGTTGCCGGTCTCGGTCTCAATGCTAACCTTGGTCACAGGACTGAACGCGATAGAAAAATGGTATGTGGATAGGAAAGATTGGCGCACGTGTACGTTAAGTGTTATATAAGTGATTATGTTGGTTTCCCGGTACTTTCATATGCCGTCTAAAAAAAAAGAATGCGGTAAGGTTTCTACGTGTAAGTCCACATTTGAAAATTATCCGCAAAGAAAGGTTCTACGGCACTTGGACATGTTAAAATACCGCAGTTTTGGTCCCATATTTCAAGTCATTATGGAAGAAGGGGTCTAGGGGTTCCAGCAAAACAATCCTTCAACCTTGAGTGGTTGTACTTCGATCCATATTCAGAACGTCAAACACACTCAACAAGAGCTCCTGGACTAGGTTGGGAACTGGAACATTGTTTCGCTATGAACGTCCTCGCTTTAGTCAGAGAAATATCTGGTGGGGGAATGGAAATCGTTCGTATTGTTGAAAGTAGACACCTGATAGTTTATTCGTCTCCGATTCGGCCTAAAAGTCTCTTTCTCCAAATTGAAACCTAAGCCTACAATTTTCTTTGGGAGGCAACAACTTCGTGATTCCTACAAATCAAGGATCCATGCCTTCAGTCCCTTCCCATTATAACAGCTAGTTTAACTATGGAACTTTATGCAATGTGATCTAGAGTAATGAATGCAATTATGTAATCTTACGTTCAGATATTTGACAAAAATTCAACATAAATAAAATTTAATGCCAACATTGCATATTCTCATTTAGAGAGTCAGGGTTTCTTGCCCTACCATCTAGTCGAAAGCTCGTGTACACCCAGGGTGATTAGATGGTGAATTTCGATTATATTCCCTGGATAACGATTGCTGGAAAAAATATTCTCAACGGAAAATAACCACAGTTGAACGCGATTGGTAACCGCCCCATGCCCAATGTCTCCTTTACCACTGATTGAATTCGGAATCTGACTCATTTGCCCAGCGTAGTTCGGAACGTTTGGCCTCGGTACTTGGAATTCGAGAGGAATCGAAATCAATATTAGTCTCGCGTGCAATTCGCTTTCTCCTACGACCATCGGCCAGAGGGCATCATCCAGCTGTTTCTCTGTCGATAATTTTGTGCCACGATAATAGAATATTTTTCTTCAGAAGAAAAACACTGGAAATTCATTTGAAAAGAAAACTTACATGCTCGTGAGGGACCCGTGGGGCAGAACTAAAACGGAATCAGACAGCCATGAGCATGCACTACATATACGTAATTTCCGGCCAACAACGTCTGATCAAGGTTGAGAGTGGGTTGATTTTTCAACGATGCCATGGCCCGTATTAAAAGAACATATTCATTTGTTTCCCTGCAAAAAAAACCGTGCCGCCTGAGCTGACTCCTCAATCGAAGGAGAAGAGAATGAAATTCAGAAAGGAATTAGGAGAATTATTGGGTTGGAAAGAAAAGTCATGCAACACTTTCTAAAACTATTTATGAAAATTTTCAAAGGAATGATGGGCGGGGCTTTACATTTGTATATGCTGGAATGTTCTCGAAGCTTCTGCCCTCGGGGTATATAAGGCGGCTTCTGCCATCAGTTGGCAGCCATGGCTACGATGGAACAAGCAACTCTTCGCCCCATCGTCTACTACGAGTTCCTCCAAGGACACTCTGCGAGAGCCGCCGCGGACAACATCTGCGCTGCATTCAAGGGCAACGTCGTCCACTATTCTACGGTGTCTCGATGGCTGAAACGCTTCGAATCTGGCGACACGACCTTCCGAGATCGACCACGTTCAGGACGTCCATCTACTGTACAGTCCATGACGAACCCATGCGGAACGCCCTCGACGCGAAGCCGAACGCCACCACTCGCNGTTGGGAACATGTCATAGACAACAATGGTCATTACATTGTAGACTGATATTGCATTTCAATAAAGCTATAAAATTTTGAAAAATTTGCGCATTGTTGCAAGACTTTCTTTCCATCCCAATACTTGTGATTGCATCTGACTCTCAGGAGACGTCAACCATCAGAATGTGAGATTTAGGGCGATGCAAAATCCTCGCGAAAACCTGGAGACTTCCCAGCATTCCAAGAAGGTCTTAGTGTGGTGCGCTATATCAGTGCAAGGAATAATCTCCCTGTTTTTCTTCGAGGGTTACGTAACCTCTGAGAGTCGTCTGAATCTGGTGAAAACATTTTTTCCGCCTGAGCTGGCGAATCGACGATCACTCGTTTTACTGTGGTTCGTCGCGGCTCGCCCCGACTTGAATCCCTGCGAATTTTCCCTCTGAGACTATCTAAAGGAGCAGGTGTTCAGAAGAGTCGTTGGTCAATCACCTCAACTGAAGTTTCGGTCTTGACTGAAGCAAGCGATAACTGAGTGTAACCGTCAAATCGACGATCTGCTGAAGCGAGTGATGGAAAACGTGTGCCTTCGCCTCCACAAAGTTGACAACGTCCATGGCGATCACATTGAGCAGATATGGAACAAATTGCTTTAAGGTATTCCGTTTTCAAGTATGTTTGAATCATCTTCATCATGGTTTAATGGTTTTTAATTTTGAAATGGGGGTAAATTGACTGAAGCACCCTCTATACGAGTCTCGAGATCGTTGTGTCAGCATAGTAAATAATCAGTCCTCTTGTATCGCACGTACCCCAATCAATCGGAACCACCTCTACGACTGATATTAAAGGGACTTTGACATTGCTGCGCCCTTCCAGTAGAGATTATTTTTCCCTTTGAGACAGAGACTTCAAGATAACTATGAAAATCTTTGAAGATAATTCTCTCATTCTCTTATTTTAACCACAGGAATGTTTGCATATTGTTCAACCAGAAACTATTCTCCTAGTTCGTGTCATGATGCGGTCGTCTTCCACATCGTGAATAACTCCTCCCTTTGTCAATATTTTTTCAAATAAAAAGTGAAAAAATGATGGAGTCCTAGCTACACCCATTTGTTGTTTTCATTTCAAAGGGAACGAGTCAACAGATCATCAGTGCTACAGGGAGTGAAATTCTGTCGTCAATATTCATCTCACTTTTATCAACATGGCCCTAGCCTACTCGTGTCATTATCGACGGAGATATTCAAGGAAATTATCTTTCACACGCTCCTCCTTGATTTTACTCCGCTGGTACACTGTTTTCGGATTGAATTCGTCATCCCCTCCCATCTTTAGCGAAGAATGGAGAAAACAAAATTTCCCGAGGGTCTGCTTCATAAGATGATGCAATAAACCAGTCATGTGGGGGAAGTCACAACCTTAAATCGATGGAAGCCCCCTGGGGGGGGACTTAACCGAGGAACCGAGGCGCACTCTGTTTATGATCCCAGTAGGCGAAGAGAAGGGAATTTGACCTTTCCGTTTGAAATAGGCAAGCCTGCATTCCGCTCACCCAGATAACACGTCTAACTATTGATAAGTGTTATCTGGACGAGAGAGACAACTTTGAACGTTATGGTGATATCAGTATTCCTGGCATTGTGTAAAGTATGTTAGGACCCCATAAAAATTATTGTGCACTTGACAAGGGAAGCAATCATTACTTCGACAGACTCCTAATTCGTGGCTTTGTGAGTGAAAGCAGCATTCCATCGCGTTATGAACCTACATGGAGACGGATCTGACTCAAGGAAGAATGTTCCTCAGATGACAAACTATATCGTAATTCTCTCGATGTTCGATATTCACGGGATCACGCTTTTTCGTCAATATGATTAGGATGACTTAGGACTATCTCCATGGGACCTGGAAGCCTCAAGTACAGGATGACAATTGTTCCTGAATATCCTCCAGCGCCAGTGGCCATTATTGAGAAGAGAGCGATGGTGGGTAGAGCTCCAAATATTTCCTAAGGAACATGCTCTTCTGCTTGGCCTCGGAATGCGAAAACGTTCACGACTGATGTCATTTTCCACAAAAAACTGGTTCTCGCAAACTGGTCAATCCCTTTCAGCAAAGAGCCAAACGGTAAGTAGCAAAATGCAGCCTCTCAAGAGACTCACCAGTGCCAGGGTAAATATGTTCTTTTTTTCGCCCTACTTGAATCGTAGAGAAGAAAGAGTCATGAGACACGTCGCCGAAATTCTCGCTCGTCACTCAGAAGAGCTGGAGCACATCAAC